TGAAATGATATTCTTTATCAACTGTGAAATGAATCTCACTTCCTTCAACTCCCTAGTCACCCCATCACACATTCTGATTCGAACTATTTTAATACCACTAATAGGGTATACGTGATCATTACCCATGAGTACGACATCCCTTCTTTCCAACTTCTCAAAGCTGGAGAACCAATCTCTCCTAGGGAAAATATGGTATGTAGCATCCGAATCTAACATCCACTCCGTAGAGTCGGCATAACAAATTGATAGTAATGTTGGGCATGAGTATCTCGAAGAATCTGAATCTGAATTGTCGCCACTAACTTTGGCAACATTCACCTCTGAAGCCTGTACGGCTTTCCCTTATTCTTCCCGGCTCTATCTCTCAACTTTGGGCATTCATTCCTCCAATGTCCATTCTTTTTACAAAAAACACATTGATTCATATCAACACTCTTATGGCCACCTCTATGCTTCGACTTTGAGCGGTTAAACAGACGACGGTTTGGACTACGACCTCTTACTGTCAATGCATCTCCTGATGCCTTCTCGGAGGGTTCACTATCACTCTTCCTCAACTTATAGTTCACCAATGCTAAGGTCACCTCCTTATATCTGATGGTGGTTCTACCATTGATCATCGTAAGGACAAATGTATCAAAATCAACCTCTGGCAATAAACATAGCAACAACATCGCTTTATCTTCATCCTCTACCATGATATCCACATTGGCCATATCCGATAGCAATTTTGTGAAATTATTAACATGTTATCTAATGGAAACTCCCCTCTTCATTTTGAATTGGTAAAATCTTTTCTTCAAATGAAGCCGATTCTCAATGCTCTTCGTCAAATATTTTTCATTGAGTGTTTCCCACAATCTCTTCGCCGACGTTTTGTTCATCACATCATAGATCAAATCCGGCATCAAACATGATCGAATAATCCCACATGCTCTACTATTTATTTTCTTCTAAACCTTATCCTCCATATCTTCGGGTTTCTCTTGTAATTCAAGAGTCTCCTCCAAATTTTGGGCATCTAATGCATCCATCACTTGGTACCTCCACAAACCGAAATTTATCTTGCTATCAAATTTCTGAACATTAATTTTTGTATAATTAATGCTCAACCATTGTATCACCTTCGACAGAGACGATCCCGATGTACTTGCTTCGGTTATCTTAACAATCCAATCTCTTCAAACAAGAATTCAAGCCCTAGCTTTCTTCTCCAAATCGAACCCTAAGCCAAACCCGGAGCTCTGATACCACTTGTTGTGTGCAGCGGAATCAAAGGCACACAATCACAACCGAGATTGGAACGCAAACAGCAACCAAAACAAGTATCACAAATGCAAGACAACAAATTTTACGTGGTTCGCCAAATTTGCCTACGTCCACGGGAGCGGTAAAAATAGTGTGTGTGTGTGTGTGTGTGTGTGTGTGTGTGTGTGTGTCATTCAGTTCCATACTAATGGCTAGCTAAATGCTCTCATACCATTTGTCATGTCCTACTGGCTAATTATTCTGATATCCGGCTCGTAAGACTACTATTGACGTGATATAAAAACTGAGGTGCACAGGGTGCAATATATGATTTGGCTTGATCCCTCGTCAAAAATAACTAATCACTATTGCACTTGGCTTTCATGACTTAACTATTTAAACATGTCTAAGACTCTGCATCTATATGATGTGAGACTATTTGAGTTGGACTATCGCGTACTGGTCTTGGGTGAAAAGTAAGAATAAGTGCAACCCATGAAGATATGAAGATAGTGTAAGCGTTAACGGTTAATAAGCAATATTGTGGTCTATGTGTTGGTGTTCAATGAAATGTAGTTCTAATGCACTGCACACGTAGTTCCTCAAGTATATTAATTTTCTTTAGTTAGACGTTCATGTAATTGTTGTTGTTACTCTTAATAATTTTTAGAGAGAGGGGGGAGAGAGAGAGAGAGAGCTTCCTTTGGCTTGAACCATAACTCTTGTTTGGCATTTGGTGTGAGTTGTAACTCTCCCTTGTTTTTCTCCTCCTTTTCTTCTGCCCTTTTCGAGGTGCCATGTCCCCCTAAAAGACACTCCATCCCCCACCACTTTTTAATTCCCTAAACTTGCAGCAACAAATCCAGCAAATCCCGGCTAATTACTATTTAATCCCTTTGTTTAATCCTTTACCTTCACTTAAGTCTTAATTGACCCTCTTATTTTAATAGAAGAAGCAACTTTAATAAACTCCCTCTGACTTCCTTCTTGATTAGTTGGCCTCTCTACTCCTCTAAATATCATGTGCTTTCAGCTCCTCATGACATGAAGCTTACCTCATCCAAATTCTATTTCCAACTAATGTTAACGTTTTGTTTTTAAAACCAAAGCTTAGCTAACCAAAGAACTTTTCAAATCAAAGTTATCAAGCTTTTCTTATTAATAAGAAGAGTTCCATGGTGAGGGAAATCATCCACAGTGTAGCATCCCATGCCTAGTCCCCAACCCCAACAATTGCATCATAAGTAATTTATATATACAAGTGAATGATGTAATCCCTCTGCCATCAACATATAATTGTACTTTCCTCCTGTATAGTATCAATAATAGTGGACTTTAGGCGCTTATATGATTAAATAAAAAAAACTGTCATGTTCACTAAGATGGTTCATGGACTTTGATGTGTACCCTTATCTATCTTCCACTTTACAATCTCTTGCCCTCAAATGAATTCTGTTCAAGGTTGAGAAAAGGACTTAATGCTTTAAACTACTTTTGAACAAGAATGGTTAGTACAGACAAAATTCAACAATTGCATGACTCTCTTTGTACGCCAAATGTTAGTGAATATATTAATGATGCTACATTGTAATATTGATAAAGATACCATATGTACTTCTCTCTTATATATGTTGCTCTATTACAACCTCTATTATAAAATTGGTTTAAGGCCCTTTCAGTTGTACGAATAATATATACTATATCTTCTAACCCTTTTCACGGCACCATAATTTTGAAGTTATGGTGAGGGCTATCATTTTTATACTATAACCCGTCGCACCAGGTTGACCACCCTTTTCATGGTCTGAAACCAGGTTCATGCAACAATATTTTTAAATCTGCTCTATACGTGGTCGGTAGGATTTGAATGACCAAGATTGTTTTGCTACCAAGTTAAATATTCTTTTTCGTTGCACTAAAACTTCAAATTTATGGTGATGATTAAGGATGATAATCTGTATACTAGCCGTATCTACTTCAAGAGTTAATAATAGTAAAACTGTTACAAATCTCAACTCTTCTCTTTGTCCTCATGCTTGGTTTTGGCCAAGGCATGGGGTTGAGGTCATGGAGGTTAGAGGTCAGTCAGCCTTTTGGATTCATTGATGCATCCATGTGAAACAAAACACTGAATGAATCTCCTCTTTTTAATTTGTTGCAACTGTGAAGATCTGCAACAATCCTATGTTTGCCTACAAGAGGTGTCTTCTCTGGGGTAGTAATCAAGTTTTTTTATATTTTGTTTCTACTCCAATTTTGATGTTATATGATCTTATCAGCATTGATTCAAATCCACGTGAAAGTGCGCAATGGGTGGCTCTTTCTATCTTTTTGTGGCAACCTTGAATACCTGAAGAAATCCTATGTTTGGCTATAATAAATGTCCTCTCCGTGATAGTAACTTCTTGAAAGTACTTCTTTGGTTTCTTCTTCTGATTTGTACTTATGCTTCTATCACTAAGTTAGATGAGGCAGCTATATTTAATATCAACAATTATATATTAAAACAATTAAACTCATTCATTTACGTATGTAAATTAACATGCAAGCCAAGATTAAGTTACAATGAAAATAATCCAGACTACTTAAAATTTTGTTAAAACAAATTGGTTACTTTTCTTTTATCTGAAGATATTCCAATACTAGAACTTCACTAATGAGACTACACGGGAGCTTATACTTATTCTAGAAAAGTCACATTTTATACATAATATTAGCTTTGGTTTCACAAATAACATGTCAAGAACACTGTTATAAGTAGCTGTAAATAGCCCCGCAATAGCGGCGCTAATAGCGTTAGCGGTCCCTTCCCGCGACGCTATCACCCGCTACGCTATCGCGCAATAGCGGTGACATATTGCGGAATATGTCTGATCGCAAAAGCGACTAATGATGTGTCATAACGGTAAATAGTGAGCGATTACATTTGAAATTTGCTTTTTAACTGCTATTTAAAAGCGGTTTGAGACTTATTTTTTTAAAATTAAACCCAACCCTTGACCATTGCATTCCACCGTCTCCTGTGATTTTTATCATACTCCCACCACCTCTCATAGCCTCTGGCACCTACCTTGATTCTTCCTTTCACCTCCTTCACCGTGAGCTCCTCTTAGGGCAGTCCCGTCACCACTAAGCTCTTCTTCTCGAAGACAACGACTTTTTGACTCTTCCAGTCATCTTCGGTATTACGTGATGGTTACATGTCTATTTTATATTTAGGATCTCTTTAAATCATCCAATATGGACTTTTAGATTTCTTAGATTTTTCTTTATTTTTTTCTTTTTTTAGTATTTATATATATCTAAATTAGACCGCTATTTGACTTTACGCTTTTTATCGCTATTTTTTCGCAATAGCCCGAAATAGCCTTAGCGATGCCTCACCACTACGCGACGCTATCCGCTATCGATAACCTTGGTAAAGAACTTGTTACCACTATGATCTTTCAATTTACTATTTGAGGCTCATAATGAGAAAATCAATCTGAACCAAAAAGAGATGAATATTGTACAGACGAAACGTGTCTAAATCTAATATCTATCATTCGGAGGGTCTCGCGTGTTTTCTTAAGATTGGATTAATAAATTTCTCAAAGAGGTTTGACCCCCCATAATAGCTTGCATCTATTAATCACAAGCCAATTAGCATAGGGACACGGTCACATGCGTAGGACCTTCACGACCTCTCGAGCCCGCTACAACTTATGCTCTTTCCCATAAATCTGTTTCCAGGCTCCATCGCTCCCAAAAATCCCCTCCACTTCTTTAATCCTCAGAAGCTACCCAGAAGACCGAACTCATTCGTATATAATTCAGAGTTTATATCATATGAACCAAAACTGAATCCAACCCTCTCTCTCTCTCTTTCTCCTCTTCATACAACTCCCAAGGATGTTGTTTGAGTGCGATCCCAATGATGGTGAATCTACCATAAAGCTCATTGAGAACTTAACCACAAATGCCAGCCGAATCCAGCAGCAGGTTCTCGATGAAATCATTGCAAGGAACTCCGGTACTGAATACTTAAAAGCCTTCCTACATGGGAACAACACCAGCAGAGATCTCTTCAAGAAGAGAGTGCCCGTCGTCGAGTATGAGCAGGTGAAGCCTTACATCGATCGCATCGCAAACGGCGAGCCCTCCAGCATTGTATCTGCTCACCCCATCACTGAACTCCTCACAAGGTACACCTCCATCCAAAAAAAGAAAAGAAAAGAGAAGATAAATCTTACAATCTTTTTTTCATCTGAAGTATTGTGTCTTTGGAAGTTGGCAGAATTTAGAATTCTTTCTTATCTTTCAGTTCGGGGACTTCTGGTGGCCAACCAAAGATGATGCCGTCGACAGCCGAAGAACTCGACAGAAAGACATTCTTATATGATATCCAAGTCCCTGTGGTCAACCAGTGAGTAAAAATTTTTCTGATCACAACAAGCTGACCAAAATTTTACAGGTTTCCAGCTTTCTAACGTAGCAGTGAACAAAACTAACAGGTATGTTCCAGGCTTAGACGAAGGCAAAGGAATGTACCTCTACTTCATCAAACCTGAAATCCCTACGAAATCTGGACTGCCAGCTAGGCCGGTCCTGACGAGCTACTACAAAAGTCCTAATTTCAGAAACCGGAGGTTCAACAAGTACAATATCTATACAAGCCCGGATGAGACGATTCTTTGCGCTGACAGCAAGCAAAGCATGTACTGCCAGCTACTCTGCGGTCTCGTTCAGCGCGACGAAGTCCTTCGTGTCGGTGCGGTCTTCGCTTCAGCTTTTCTTCGGGCGATAAAATTCCTCGAGAACTACTGGAAAGAAATGTGTGCGAATATCAGAACAGGAGAGCTCAGCTCCTGGATTGCTGATGAAACAGTTAGGACCGCAGTTCTTAAAATTATGAGCGAACCCAATCCAGAATTAGCTGGGGAGATTGAAAAGGAATGTAGACTCGAGCCATGGGAGGGCATTGTCAAGAGGTTATGGCCTAGGACTAAGTATGTAGACGTGATCGTCACAGGTTCCATGGCGCAGTATATACCGCTGTTGGATCTTTACAGTGGGGGTTTGCCTTTGGTCTCAACGATGTATGCGTCGTCGGAGTGCTATTTTGGGATAAATATGAAACCGTTGAACTTGCCATCCGAGGTGTCGTATACTTTGTTGCCGAACATGGCATTTTTTGAGTTTATTCCAGTGGAGAGGGAGGAGGAGGCGGTGGCAGGGGAGTGTAATGGTATCGGTGGCGATGGTGATGGGCGGTCGCCGGTGGAGGTGGTGGATCTTGTGGATGTGCAGGTTGGGAAGTATTATGAGCTTGTGGTGACTACATTCACAGGTGAGGATTTTATGCTTTTTTTACTGTTTGCTATTATGCTGCATTGCTTCTGATTACAATTTATGACACTATTTTGTGCTGTGTATTTGTTGGAATAAATATTTGGGTATTGGTAGGTTGAACATGCATTTTAGTTTCAAGAATTTGCGAAAGAAAATTGGAGACCCTTGTTTTTCTTAATTAACACTGTTGCTTATTTTATCATGTGGTCAGTTTGGCAACTCCTTTTGACACTGGCTCTTGATCACCTCCACCTGATCCAAAATTAAATTGGTTTAAAAGTCGCGTTATGAACTAGAAAAAATCAATTGGTTCAATTCTGATCTACTTCTTGCCAAATAGAATTTCATTTTTTTTAAACCAAATAGACTACCTTTGGTTAGTGGGAGAGTTGGCAAACAGACTCATAGAGTTCCTGCATGCTAAGAGCATCTTTCAATTCGGAGGGAAAAAGATTTTACATGTTTGAGTTGATAATGTAATATTTTTAGTATCATTAGCATTATTCTTTGCTAAAACATACATCTTTTTTTTTGCTAATTTCTCATGCTGATTAATATTAGGAAAAAAAAATCTTGCTTTTTCTCTCCACAAACTTAACGGTTGGTAGTTAGAAAACAGAATAGAGATTATTGTTCATTTCCTATTTCACTTCTTGATTAATTAATATCAGAGAAGTTTCTTGATTTATCTTAATCTGACCCCCCACAAGACTACATATAACATGTGATGGAGCCCACAAGTGTAACCCTCCACTCAATAAGTCAAGAAACAAACTTCCCATGAGATAGCATTTGGTATGAGCAAATTTGGCATGTAGCTAGGTCCACTTCAATGAGTGAATTTTGTATCTAGACATGGACAAACATGTAGTTTGTATCACTAGGTGAATTTTGTAGCTAGGTCCACTTCAATAAGTTTTTCTTCTGCATGGGTCCAAATTGGATACATAGGTGTGTATAATATAGAGTTCTACTCAAGTCTAGAGTATAGTATGGAGTTATCTAAGTGGTCCCATATAATAAGGAGAAAAATCCTCAAATTTCTTCTGTTTCGCATTGATACAAGTATAGACAGTCTTTCAACCAACTACAAAGGGGATGGAGAATACAGAATAGGTTTTTTTTTTTTTGAGTTATATCCATATTATTCATATTTGCATGTGATAGGTCTTTGGGACCTAACCAAAGGTCTACCTCCTTTAGAGCAGAGCTTTTTTGTGTGTGTGTGTTCTTTTTTTTTTTTTTTTTTTTTTTTGGAAATGGTTTTTTTTTTTTTTTTTTTTTTTTTTTTGGAAATTTAGACCCACTTCTTTGGAATCAAAAGTGATTTGGTCCGCAAACGCATGCATTTTCTATTCTACCTATAAATGTGGAGGCGTGTTGTTTGCATGTGGATATAGAACCTATTCGAAACTCCAAGATATTCAATCAAAAAAAAAGAGGCAATGGGTCCACTCTTGAAACAAATAAGTCCTCTCAATGAAAAGGAGAGGAGAGTGGGTCCTATGGCTAATCAATAGCAGGGTCAAATCAAAGCAAGGATAAGGTTTGTTTAAACACTTGATAAAAATGTTGTGCATATCTATATATATATAATTGAGTGCCTTATCAAGACCTCTAGTTGTCATAGAAGTATAATAATAGGAATCCGTTATGGTTT